ACGCTATTCAATGCAACACAGTGAGGAGAGGACCGGTGCTGTGCTGGAAACGCACCTTATTGATTCAGCTAGAAAGCTGCAGCAACAGAGTAACGGAGTAAGGTCTGCACAGCAATGCTCATCTCTCTGAAAGACACAGCAGGACCTCCTTAGGAGTTGGTGTACAGTACACCATCTTCATTAGCTAAGCTGTTAGGTTAGCTGCGGCTAAAGGAAGCTATAAATCAGAGCACCTACCTGCTCTGGAGTTCTGACAGCTGGAGCCGTCTTTGTGGCCCAGAAATTTTGGAAAGAAGAACAATAAAATCTAACATGTATATGAGTTTTTTAGGCAAATGCCTTATATTCTGAGATTCACATAAAGGAGGATGGCGATGTCTTCGTTGTAAACAACCCCCAACTAACACAGGGAGGTTAGCCTTTATTACCCCTCAGTTATAAATAACCAGCCTTCAGAAGCAACCAACCACATTTGTTCTCAGTGCTCAGGAGACTTGTTCTGTGCCCGAGCCGAGAGAGCTGAATTTGGCTTTCTTTGCTTAATTGATGAAAATGTGCCATTAACTTGAGATGAATGATTAATAAGCTGTTTGAAGGTAAAACGGGTTTCTGTTCTCACTCGTCAGATAAAGTGCGGCCCTTTAAGGCAAGATCTCTCTCGTCTGTTTTTTCCCACTTTAAATCACATGCCGAGTTCACCATCTGCCACTCCTGCAGCACCATCGCTGTCCTCAAAAAGTCATCGCTGTATGCGTAATTATCTGGCTTAGATCACCTCCCCTCTTCTGGGAGACGAAAGGTTAAAGAAAATGAGACCTCAGGAGGAACTCATTTAAACTGGAACATGCAGCTGTGGATGATGGTGTACATCCTCTTCTGGTACAGATGTCTGTCTTATTTACAGATGCTGCATTTCTTTATCCTGGTTAGTTCTGATTGGTGCGGCTTTTCCTGCTCATGCTCCCACAACCACACAGTAATCACACAGTTGATCCATGATGAAGTTTTTAGCTTAAAACAACAAAATGATGAGATGTTTGCGCTAAAATGCATCAGAACGCTCAGACTTTCCCTTTGAGCTGTTGGTTCCACAGATTATTTGGAATGTTTCCAATGAAATTAAATTCCCTGATTAAATCTTAAACAAAAGCTATACAAACCACTCCGGAGACATGAATCCATACCAGGTCCCTGCAGCAGTCAGAAGAAAGTTTGGAAGGAATCGTGAATGGGATTAAAAGAAGTAATCAGTTTAGTAGATGTGGGACACTTGCTCATTATGGCTTTATGACCCCGTTAATAAAAGGGCTTGTTAGGATTTAACATTTGTCTTTTTATTGCCACTCTGGAGCCGAGCACCGCTGAAGCTTTTATACTCATCCGTCCATCCTGTTGCATCCATTGAGGGGAACCAGTCATTAATGATTTGACACGCTACTGTCATAGATTTTCTGATAAATTGGACTTTATAAAGGAATAAATTGGATCAAAAACGACAAACAGCTGATTTTACAATCAAGCTCCAAATCGGACTTTGGCCTGTGTTCTGTTAATTTCTTTAAGGATCTATCCGCAGTCGGAAGTGTAATATTCCAGAGTTCTCACTTGTCACTGAATGGAAATTTAAGCTTAGTAGACGACAAGGTAATGAATGAAGGATCAAACAGGAGCTCATCGTAAATAATTAATAATATGCACTGGAGTGGACAGAGGTCATCTTCAGGCTTTTCTACATGTTAAGCTGTCAGGGCTCCAGCAAATATCAGAATATCTATCTATCTATCTATCTATCTATCTATCTATCTATCTATCTAT